GCCTTTTTTTTTTATAAAATTATTATTATTATGTCTTATAAACAAATGGTAATATTATTATATAGTATATATATATAAGTATCAAACAGTTTCACGCAGCTCCTCTTTGGGCTGTATACAAAACGAACGCGGATGTTTTGACTTCACAAGCGGTGGTTTTACGAAAGTTTCTGAGTTTTTTCAGAGAAATTACTAATATAATAATAAATAATATACTAAGTGCTCATCAAATCACTGTGAGCTACATTGATGCTTTCAAAATATTTAAGGACATTACCCTATTATAATATCCATACAACTCCTGTAAGGCTGTGACACTATTTTCCGCGTTGATTTAATCGTTTTAAAAACACCAAAAAAAAAACCACCGACTTTTATTGATTTATAATAACATATTATTATACAATACAAAAATACAAAAATATAAAATATAATATACTCGCACGGCCATAATACAATATAACCATATCGCTGTATATTAAACCTTACCCTCTCGGCGGGCGACAAAAAGGCTTTTTAAACGCATCGCCTGATCGACGGCAATAGTACACAAGTGAGTGTGTTTGGGTGTATGTGTGTGTGTGTGGCAGAGGAGCGCTAATGGACGAGCGATATGGTTTTTATTATATTATTATTTTTGTTTTAATATACCGACAAATTGCGTTCGTTCCGAGCAATTAGACTGCTCCCTTCGTGACCCGACCGAAGCTCATCTGCCCTTAATTATACAACACCCCCGCCACCCGCTTTTGCATGTATGTATATACTTTATTACCTACACTTCATACCCCGTCACTTTTTTCCGTATTTTTTTTTTTTTTAGTTTTATACAGGTACGCGTGTGCACGACACTCCATATTATACATAGCTGATCCAGGTATAAGTATATACGGTCGGTGATATGACTAGGTATGTTGCTGCTTTTGTTGTTGTTGTTGTGTTTTTCGTTAATATGACTGGCCGAACCCCGTCCGGAGCAGGTGAAAATGAACTTATGTATACTTTTTCACTAATTTATTTAGAAGAGCGCACGTGAACAGAAAAAATAGAGTAATTGGTTATTATACACATGTTCTAGGCAATATAATATAGGTACCTATATCGCATGTAATATAATATAATATCTATATATTATATATTTCTTATCAAATAGGGAGGTGGTAGAAATACGTGTACCCAGTGAACCTATAGGTATGGCAAATCGTTTTTACCTTCCTCGTATACTGAGTAATATAGATACAGACTTATTAATCGATGTATAATATAAATTTTATTTCTAAAGTAAAAATAAATTCAATTTTTTTATTTGAATAGGCAGATAATAGGACAAGTGAACTAGAAAATAGAATACCGTAAAAGTGGGATACTTTGCTCCAAATATATTTCTTTTTTAGTTTTAGTTTTTTAGTTTTTACTATAGCTTCAATAACAAAGATAAAAATTACCTGTTCGAGTTGTTTTATATGTATAGATGTTGAGAGGTAAGAACAATAATTCAAAAAAATCCAAATGTCGTACTAGTGACTTACTTACTTATTCCCAAAAGTTTGAAGCAAAGTTAAAATACATTGCAGGCTACATTGCACAATAATTAAAATTATCTTACCTACTTTAATGCATATAATAACTATTGGTGTAGTGTTTAGTGTTTGTGTTTTAACTTATTTGAACCTATACATAATATAATTGAATAATATAATTTTTTTTTTTTAGTTGATTTAAAGTCTTTTTTTAATACATTTCAATCCCCTAGATTTTGGATAACTTTTCCGTTATGTGTTTTTGTGTTTTTGAAAACAATTTTTTTCATGATATACATCTTGGAGGCAAACTAATAGATTGATGTTCGTTATGTTTGAAAAAATTAGTAATGTTAATAAGAATAATATAAAAAAAACTACAATCTCTGATTTCAAAATCGTAATGTGCTACAATTGATATCAATAAATATTTTTTTTGGAGCAATGCTCAACCCCTGGAGTAAAGTATCCCGCTCTTACGGTATGATGATTGTTTGGTAATCTTAACGAGTGACGAAATAAAACAAGTGAATGTATGTTATATATAAAGAATACAATATATTATATAGGGACTAGGTACTTTTGTATGAATAACTTTTCATAACAATTATTATTTTAATTAATTAACTTTAAAACGTAGATCAAAGTTAAAACTCGTAAAAAGAATGTTAAAATAATAACGTGATTGAAGGTTGAAAAATTATAGCGTGACTATGTTTTTTAACTCTTCGTTGCTCGTAAATATATTATTTTCAAAATCCACTCAGTTATACCTACTTTAATAATTTATTGTAGGCGCTCCTACATACAACATATAGTGCTGTATTTACTTTCGCCTATATTATAATAAAGGGTCAATGAATAATTTATGTATCTATAAAGTAATAAAATAAAATACTGCTAGGTTTCACAGGACATATTATTATTAACGTAGGTACCTACATCATATACAGTTATTTCTATACGCAGCTGTACCTAAATTGTATTCAACTAACTTGGTACAATATAGGTATGATTGATGAGTTGTACAACTTGTAGTAGGTACAAAAGTTGTACGAATGTGAGTGGTATACGCGTACTGCAAGTTTGTATGACTAGTTCATACAACTGGTGTATGGTTAAGTATTTTACCGTATTTCAGTGGCGGATCCAGTGCTTAATTTTTTTTTGGGGGAGGGGGGGGGGCTAAAGTACAAAAATTGCTACAAAATTGGCTAAACATAGTGTAAAATAAAGGGAAACTACGGCTATGTGGGGGGGGGGAATACCACCTTTGGATCCACTACTGCCGTATTTGTATCGTGTATTAAGACTTTACGCGTTAAAATAAATAACAACGATCGCATCGTACGTTTATGTGTAACGTCGTATAATATAATTAAAACGATTAATAACTTTAAGACAATCAGCTGATATTGCAGAGATTGCAATTAATGTTGGAGGAGTTGAGTATACCTGTAGGTGCGCAAGCGACCACATAATATATACGATAATAATAAAAAATAAATTCTCCTGTGGACATAAACGATAATACATCATAACATAGCCCGTCTAGTCATCTGAAAACTGCAAAACGAACCGCAGTAACCCGTTCGAATTTGACGTAAGTACCTATCTGCTGTTACATGCATATATGATATAATATTATAATATATTAAAGCAATAACGTCAGGTACTTATATAATATTATCATTAATGGTTTCGGGACGTTATTATACGGTTGGGGGGCATTGAGCGCGTTAATCACGACAATCTTCGCACGTTGCGGACGATCGCTCGGAAAAAGGAAAAGAAAACCTGCAGTGCCAGGCACGTGGTTGTGCACGTCTAATCATCGGCCGCAGCTGACGGTTTCTCTCACGCCCTCCTTCGGCCTTTCCGTCGTCGGTTTAGGTACGTTTACGTTACACTTTATATTTATATAATATATATAAAGACCTGCGTGTATAATATAGTAATAATACATTCACGGAGCTCGATGTATCTTATTATATATATGCACAAAATATATAGTCATAATATTATTATATCGTGTATAATTTTTTTTTTTTTGTTTTTAGCTCGTTTCGTGTGCTTTCGGCATAAAGTGTGTGCCCACAGCTAAGTATATTATACGGTCGGCGCGGCGGAGGGTATATTATAACGAATATAACAATAACAACAAACGCAAACTTCGAGGGGCCAACCACTCGGCGCAATAAACATTATAACGAACGCGAGCTTCTATGTGTGTGTGTTGTGTGTCTCTTTCTCTCTCTCTCTCTCTCTCTCTCTATCTCTCCTGGCAGCGTATAACGGCTTTAACAAGTTTTCGGTTTCCAGTGTCTCTCGTCATGATATTATCCAAAGTCCTCACCCCTACATCCCTCCCTACATTCACCCGACCGTCTCGATATTGCACAGCCGGTATATTATATTATTATAAATACTCGCATGCGACGGGGTATAACAATAACAATATATTATGTAGTATATAATATTATATTGGGTACGTACCTATACTTGTATGATATACACTCTCGACGACCTAGCACGAAAGCATTTCAAACGACCGCAAATTCGTCGAGAGCTTTCCTATTTCGATTATAATATATTAGAATAGAATATAATACATTATATCGCACATTAAATCCTAACCGAAAACGGGGAAAGTCGTACAACTCGTTCCTGTGACAATATAATACCGGTATAGGTACACTCGGTATGAGGGGCACATTGCACGCGCCGATGTCGTTTCGATTCACGCATAGCGTTATGAGTGCACTTTAACCGAACGCCATGAACGAAACCATTCGCTCAATAAATAACTGCAACACGTCGCGGTATACGTGGTAACGGTTAGTTTTGTTTAAGTTAGGCGTTTGGCGGGGGAGGACCACGGTCGAGTATCGCATTGAGGCGAAGGCAATTTGCAATAATAATAATATGTGTACACAAAATACTAACTATTATGCATTTATATATTAAACTCAATAATTATTAACTAATTTTAAATAAAATTAATTTACTTAGTAAAAAATTAACTTAGTTTGATTTTAAACTAATTTAATTAATTTTGTATGAGTTATGTGGTCGAACGGTATATAATATTAATTGTACCAATCAAATAGATATAATATAATATGGATATAATATTATATAGGTATATAATATTATTATGTAGTATTGGGGATGTGGATAGGATACTTTTTGCTAGGCTTTGGTATCTATATGGGTGGAAGATGTGAGGCGACCGTATGGCCAGAATGAGTAGGACGAGAAGGCGAGGTACATAATATGTACTAATATGTGTTAATGTGTCAAAATCCGCGGTAAGCTCGTAATTCAATTATCCGCCTTTCCGCCACGACCCGATCTAGTGCACAAGATCGAAAAACTATCAATTATAATAATATGTGAACACAAAATACTAACCATTATGCAACTTAAACGTGGACATATATAATAATAATATTTACTACGTAAGTTTATGAATCTTACCTGTCGTATCTCTGCAGGTCGTCGTCGTACGGGTAGTCCGGTGGCAGTATTTGCCAGCAGCTGGTCTCGTAAGCTCCGACCGTTTGAGTTCCACCACCGGCGCCGACTACAGATTCCTGGGGGCCGAAGGGGACCAGGGCGCCGGCGGAATCGGTGGGTTCAATGTGGTGGTGGTGTTGTTGTTGTTGTTGTTGTTGTTGTTGTAGAATTATGTGATCTTCGTGATGCTGTTGGTCCTGCTGCTGCAGGTGATGGTGATGCTGGTGTTGAACGTTATGTTGTTGCTGCTGCTGCTGCTGCTGCTGCTGTTGATCGTTCATGACCGGCATAAACGTGGTTCCGTGATGGTCCTGGTGATGGTGATGGTGCTGCTGTAAGACCATCGGGTCGGCTCCAGTCAAGACGTCGTGCTCGTGGTGCGCGTGATACATGGCGACGCCGTGGGATCCGTATCTTGCGATCGAACGCGGTTGTCTCGTTCTCGGTTATCGACCTATCGATGATGTTTGTTTCTCTATTAGATGTTTCTCGATCTATATTCAATCGATTACAGTCGAACACACTGCGAGCGTTTGTCGCTCTGCGGCCTAACGACGCACTGAACGACCGATACGAAACGCCGCTCCGACGACGGCGACGGAGGCGATACAGATAAGACGACCTCTTATCCACAGCACCGGATCCTCACGGATATCTATGTCTTGGATGTGTGCGTGCACGAGCTCGTGTGTGTGTGTATGTGTGTGTGTGTGTTATGTACACAATGCGTATTTGTACACATATGCAAGTGTACACATGAGTGTGTGCGTGTGTTTGTGTGTGTGTGTGAGTTCGAAGACTACACTTTTTTTATTTTTATATCATCATCGAATGTCGCCAAAGGTTTTAGACATTTATTCTCTACACCGAAAGTACGATGTCACACGTGTGTGTGTACATTTGGGTTTATAGTTTACACTAATCACTAATCAGCCGAGTAGTTACTATTCTTTTTCGGATTTTTTTCTCGATACATATAGCTATTACTATTGATGGTCACAGGTTATGCTCGCATTACATGAGTTGGAAACAAATAAGAAGGGGTACGCATTAATAAAATAAACTAAAAAATTACACTTTGGCTATTACAAAAACAAAATATAGACAGACTCATAACAAACGTATAGGATTACTACGTTATTTATCATATTAGTTGTACGACTTTAGTAATTATTGTTAATTTTAGTTTTATATTACTATATTATATTGTATTATTTAACTACACAATTTTTTACATAATACTATATTATGTAAACAAAGAGAAGAAAATATATATTACCTACTTATATTATAGTTAGGTAGGTATGTGAGAAATGTATATTACAAATTGTAAATATTTAATTCATAAGAACTATTTAATTTATTTATATTTCAAATTGTGAACTCATGCCCCCCCCCCCCACGAACATGTTCAGTGGGGCCCATTATCTTCTTGAAGAATAAATAAAAATAAAAAAGAGTATAAAGCGGAATACTAAATTATCCCAAATATACCTAATCTTATAGTTTGAAACTTAATTTTTATTTTTATTTATGATATCGGAAGAATTTACATTAATTTAGTATCGGTGGATTTTTGCATTTAAAATGTTAATGAAAACGGGCAATCGCCATGGATTTTGCATATTTTCGAGAGTAAAAAAGGTACCAGTGAAATTCACATGCTATAAATCCGGGCGTAATCGTTTTCGTAATGATAATATGATAATTGATATGTAATGTATTATTTGGACAAGAAACTAGTGATGTTTCTAATTATTAATATTTATATTAATACTGTGTTACCTACTACCTATTCGTTTAATTTTTATTGTATTTAATATTTTAATATGATCAATATCTGTTGTCTGTGATACAAGGTCACCTACATCGTAATCATTACCATTTTATGGATTTAGGTTCAGGGGTTCTCAGGATTTGATCGATACTGGCGGAATCGATTGGTCCCCCTCAAAAATATCTCAACAATAATTTGTTAATTCTTTTAGCGGAAATCGGAATAATATAACCTTTGGCGGAAAATGGTCATGGTGAAACAAATGAGGGTAATTTTGGTGGAAAACGGAAACCCCCATAAATCCGACCATAACAACGAGTAGGTACCTGAAAATCGATGTAATTCACATGAGCTCGTACTTGACACCACCTTCAATAAAATGTTTGATTTTTAATTTTAATTCAAATTGTGTGTAATATTTAGTATTTTTGACGAATTTTGAACGAATCTCTTTGCCACTCACCCTGTATGATCTGCCCTTTAAAGCGTAGCACTAACATAACGGTATATCTCCGTTTCGATCATCGAACTATATAGGTTAGAACTAGGTAATACTATACATCTATAGTCTATACGTCTTTACAAACAAACGAACTCGCCAATCGCGAAAGAGCCGTCAAAGTGTTTGTTATTTTTGATACATGGTTGTAATGACGTTCGCGGAAAGATAAACTAGTATTTATTAATACTATCTTTTTATTTATAAAGTATTATGTAGTGTATTATAGTCTGATCTAGGCCTCAAGTCGTATAAAATTGTTTGTGTGTGTGTGTGTGTGTGTGACAATACTGTAACAATAATGAGAAACGATAATAATATATAATATTGTGTTGTGTGTTACAAAGTGTCTATACAATATAGCTAATGTGTACAAATTTACATACCCATCATATTATTACAATGTTATATTTGAACTATTAAAGTCGTGTGACCTTGTGCCACTATAGCAAAATATATCGTGCAATATTCATAGGTACCTGCTCTAGTGCTCTGCATGCCTCGTGTATCAGGCCATCAGGGTGTGTACGAAGGAAATCTCACAATATTAAAGACGTTTTCTTTGCCTTTGTCATCATAACTCATAATAAATTGTTTTGAACATCAGTTTAATGTTTTAATCGCCAGTCACCAGCACCTGCTTAAAAATCGACAGAAAAGAAACATTAATAATAGTAATAATTCGACAAACCTCATATTATTATATTAAATTATGTCATAAGGGTACCTAAATTATGCACGGAACACTGCAGCGGTAACACGGCACTGTAACTATATTATACGAGCTTACACATACGTACATGTATATTGTTATATTATTATGATTACGGTTGTCGGTTACTAAAAGAAATTGGAAGGAAAAAATGAGTTGTTTGAATGTTCGATTTTCGACTTTAGGTCACACAATCGCCGTTGCACTGATAACACGTATTGAACTCTTATCTTGGAAAAAAAAAAACTCGGTAATTACGGCAGGATATTCGAAAATGTGTATCCAAGTGGCCGCGCGGCTATAAGTACTCCACGATGATAATATAACATAATATACCTAACATTGGCTAATAGTAATGATGATGTAAATATAATAATAATATCGGTATAACGCCAAGGTAGTATATAATAATAATAATATAGTAAAATGCGCGGTAGTTGGTTATTATATTAAAATAGTATTATTATTATGAGTACTATAATATAACGTCACCACTGCAGCCGATGCCGCCGCCGCCACCGGTCCGACACACAGATAAGATGGAGGTGGCTATAATAATGATATTATGCTTATTACTTAAGTTTTTATATATGTATATAATATTATATTATACTTACTAATAATATTTATCTATATTAACAACGGGAACGTGCGTATTATTAGACCATAAAATGTCTTGTTTTATTGCGATGCGTGAAACTAATAGTTATATATTATTATGACATGTGTGTGTATAATGTATATATATGCGGTCTACGCGTTCACAATAATAAAGATGAAAATAATTCAAATAAAGCAATAATTTTAAAACAACGAACACCCCTACGCGTCTAGTGTCTACATGTTGTATGCATTATGTAATTATGTATATAGATATTATACACACTATTTTAACAGTACAGCGTACCTACTTTTATTTTAAAAAACATTTTTATATTTTATTACTTGGATTTACGAACGAGTCATGAAGAACAACGGAATTGAAAATTTGATGGTCGCATCACGTCATAACATTAATTTCGGTAAATCAGGTACCTATAGGAAGGTACATTATATTTTCGTTGATGTCGTAAACCCGTCTCACAAGTATGGTGTAAGTATTATAACAGTATGATATTAATATATTATAATTTATAATACAACTGGCTGATCCCGTTCACTTCGTTTCCCGTTCAAAATACAACTCTCATAAAAAAAATTGTGATTGATTCTTTTGGGTGTAACTCGCTGCAGTAAGTGCAACTCAGCCACCTTGGTAGGCAATGTGCGAAAATTCGATTTGAATTGATGTACTTGATCTGGCCGATTAACCAATGGCAAAAAATATACAAAAATAAATAAATACTAATAGGCAATTATTTCTCATATAACCAATATCGACCATTAATTAACCCGCAAATCTTAAAATCCCTGTTTGAGCAACTCTCCGGGTCGGACCTATGTGGTATAATTGTGAATCTAAACCATCCAGGACACCACTCATACACAAACAAACAATTTTGACAAAGTCGGTCCAGCCATTTAAGAGGAATTCTGTGACATACAGACAAACATTTATTTTTATATACATGGAAATTTTACACCTATTAATCACGGTGCGTGTTGCAGACTGTTTTTTAGACTTAACTTCATCATCACTTACGAGTTGTATATTACATATAAGAGTTGATACATAATATAATATCTCGTCGATGATTTCTTGTTTTCAATATTATAAGCAGTTTTACAACATGCCGCGTGCACATGGAATAACACTTATTTTTTTTTTGGGGGGGGGGGGGGGGTAGTAAAGTCTGTAAAATATCTTTCTATTTCCATAATAATTGTTGTAACAGAGAATTATATTCGCATGTTATATTTTTTTAATAGACTGTAATACTATATACCTATATGATATATTATTCTGAATTGTGTATCTTTTTAACACTGCGTCTTCGAGTTATACATTGTTGAGTTTTGTGTTGTAATAATAATATTCAATAGTTACAATAGAAATAGATAGACACATACAGCTGCTGGCCTGATTAGATTTACACCTTAATTCAAAGAATTAAATTTTTATTGTAATCTCTACTATAATTTATACAAATATGAAATGTGGAAACAAAGATTTATGTAAGTATTTTATTATTTAAGTATTATGAACCTATCTATAATTATCAGTCGAATGCTAAATAAAATGAGTTCGTTGCCCAAATCCTACGTAAATCTTTGCTGAGCTAAAATTATCTATACATTTTAAACACATTTTCATCTATAATCATATCTAATATGTTGGTTTTAGAAAATAAAAATCCATTGACACTATGATAATCTTGTTTTTTTTTTTATCATACCTTGTTAATTCTATCTCCAAAGGTAACCAAGTTGACAAAAAAGCATTTGATTCGCGGTAGACCATCAA